GAAAATAAAAAGGGAAGAAGAAAGGGAAATGTGTCATATCCTTTGGCAGAAATATGAGCCCAGGTTCTTTAAAAACGGGGCCACGATGTGTTTGGGTGGTGGCAGCAGCCCCGGTGGCAGAGCCCCGTGGACGCCAGGCCAGCGCCACCTGTTTATGGGACGCGTGATGTTTTGATTTACTTAATTTTTCCATGTAAATAAAAACAGCTTTGCCAGCAGAAACATGACTACACCATGAGACTGCAGTATAGAGGCAGAGCACCGTCTCCCCATCTCCACATCCAGCAAGCTACTGAAATAGCTGGAAATGCTGTCTCAGCGGCTCCGTTAATATTAACTTGCTGTTTGTTCAGTTGTTTTGTTGCTTATTAACCCCTGCTAGCAAGCAGGTGGTCCAGCTGGGAACAAAGGTCAAACAAAATTTAGGCGAGGGGAAAAAGCCCTTAAAAACAAGAAATTGCGTGCACCTTGGGACCCATCCTCGTTTGGTTTTTACTGGTGAGACTTCACAGTGCAGTTTACAGGAGGCTAAGAGTCACAGGACGCAAAGCTGACTCTGAAGACAAGTAACCGTGCCAGAAACTAGCGACTGCCTTTGTGACTCTTGACTGTCCTGCCCCCGCCCCTCTCCTGCCCTGCCCCCTTCTGCTGACCAGGCCAGGGTTTCATCTTGTGACTCCAGTAATGACACATTTTGGCTGATGCACTGAGTCACAGGCCCTGGGGAATCAGTAACGTGCAGGGCAAACCAGGGGCCTGGCCTGCCTTCGTTGAGCTTGCACTCTAGCTGGGGAGGCAAACACCAAATGTGTATTTTTAGAAAGATAAGTATAATTTTTGAAGAGTTTTGGGAAGCAAATAAACAGGATGACATGAAGGAGAGAACCTGGTAGGAGTCTCAGTTAGAGGGTCAGGGAAGGCCTGTCTGCCAAGGAGATGTTTGATTTGAGGCCTGAGGAATGTGAAATAGCCAGGAAGAGAGCCTTCCAGAAGACACTGCAGTGGTTATAAATTCCTGTTTGGGAGAGGAACAGACCTGGGGCAGGTGGCAGCCCAGTGACTGAGGGGAGGGGACAGGACGAGGTTGGACTGGTGAGTGGACCCAGGTCCCTGAGGGCCTTGAAGGCCAGGTTTGGATTATTTCCTAACCAAATGCTTTGTTAGCTCAGGCCTCTGCTCCTCCAAACCTAAGGCACTAGGTCCCAGGTGGCGGTGCTGGGAGTGCAGAGGGTTTCTGGGCTGGGAGAGAGGAGCGGCGCCCAGCCCTGCTGTAAACCTACTGAAGGTAGTTGCCCCCAGCGTCACTAAGTATATATACACATATGGACAGCCACTAAGACTTAAGCCTTCGATTTTGCAGAAGGTGTCTTGAGAATTGGCTGGAAGGGGGGCTAAGTCTTCCAGGACTTCACCCTCACACTCACACAAGAGGATGCTGTTCTCACCTGAGAGTTTGTAATACATATGAAATGGCTTCTTAACACATACAAAATAACTCAAAGAAACTGAATCAGAGACGGAGTAGCAGATGCTACGGGCCTCCCTCTTCATCCCTCAGAAAGCAAATCTCCCTGGTCGCTCTTGGTGGGGCGCTAACCGTGGCCTTTCGCTTCCTGGTGGGCGGCATGCTGCGGGAAAGGGTCGAGGTGGCTACTCCTTTGCGTTCTCTGCTCTACCAGGGTCTTTGCTGTTAGAACCCCACCTCCCTACTGCTGCCAAGTGGACAAAAAGGTCTGTGTCCTGACAAAAGTGCTGGGGATCTGGGGATCCCCTCCCAAAGTCTACTGAAGTCTAGGTTTGGGCTGATAAAGTTAATTCTTGTATCGGGACCCACAAAATGGAGGTGGTCCCAGTGGCCCGACCCAGGTTGTTATATTAATTAATTCACTTAACCCAGGTCAGCCTGCATGAAAAACAAGTCAAGGAAACCTGACATACACCAACCACAATCCTCCAGCAGCTTTAGTCATCTCACCTTCCCTAGAAAACAGGACCTGCTGGCTTATAAGGCATCCCCACCTCCTAGCTAGCTAGTCCTGCCCTGTTTCTGGGTTACCTCTTCTCATGCTCTATGAGGTTCGCTCTTGCCCAGAATCCCTGGGAAGGGTGCTCTGCTGCTTGTGAGGCGCTGTGCTCCCTGGACCCGGGGACTGTTTTCCCTTGAATGAGTAAGTTACTAAACTGTTTCAGTTTTGTCATTTGACAGGGTTGAGAAAGCTGAGGCCGTGTGAGCCTAGGGGTACAGAATAAAGCCATGTAAAATCCCAGTTTCTATGAGAACATACTGTCTGTGTCTTTGAAGATTAAACTTCCTAAAATATTTGTTATATTAATTAATTCACTTAAAGATGCAATTCACTTGAAGATGTATTTCACTTTAAGAGGCCTAAGGCAGACTAGAGTCACTGAATCAAGTACCTATTTGATTTATGAATGAGCAAGATTGCTCTGAACTTAAAAGCAAATTGAAACTACAAAGAAAAAAATTGTGCAGATTTAACTATTTAAAATATACATTTCTATACAACAAAAACAAAATTAAAAGTTAATGAGCATGGAAAATATCTGTACCAAATATGAAATGATTAATGTACCTAATATAAAAAGTGTTTATGCAAATAGATAAGAAAAACATTAACCCCATAAAAATGGACGAGGCATATGAAGAGATATTTCACATAAGAAGGAATGCAAAATAGTTAACTATAAAAAACTCTTTTTTCCTTATCTGTACCCTACACCAAATGTGCGAGGGTTTTTCTCCACCAAGGAATTCTCTGTGACACCTGGATGTCCTACAATTTAACTTAATTCTGACATTATCTACCTAGAGATAGTGTCAGATCCCACGATTAAGGGCTCAGTCCCACAAGCTGAGTGCCATCTTCCCTGATCCCCCAGTGCCAATCCTGTCTAAGGTGTTGCTTGTGCTTCTGACCAGCCAGCTGAAATTTGGAGTTTCCCGTGACCCGCTCCTTGGGTTTCATTGATTTGCTAGAGCAGCTCACAGAGCTCAGAAAAAGTTTACTGACTAGAATACTGGTTTATTATAAAAGGATACAACTCAGGAAGAGCCAAATGGAAGATGCATAGGGCAAAGGATGGTGGGGGAAAGGGTCGTGGAGCTTTCATGCCCACCCTAGGCCTGTCACTCCCCCACCCCAGCACCTCCACTTGTTCACCAACCAAGAAGCTCTTGAACTCTGTACTGTAGGGGCTTTTGTGGAGGTTTGCAAGATTGATTGAATCACTGGCCATTGGTGATTGAACTCAGTTTCCAGCCACTCACCTCCCTGGAGGTTGGGGGTGGGGCTGAAAGTTCCAATGCTCTAATGACGTGGTTGTTTCCCCCGGCAACCAGCCGCCATCCCTAGGGACTTTCCAAAAGTCCGTTGTTAACATAAACTCAGAGGTGGCTGAAAGGGGCTTGTAATGATTAAAAAAGACACCTTTGCCTCTATTGTCACTTAGGACTAATTCCAAGGGTTTTAGGAGCTCTGTGACAGAAATGAGGATAAAGACTAAACAGACATTTCTTATTATAAATCCTATATCACATCAACTAACATGAAAAAAGTCTATACCTTCTGTAAAGTAATCAAAGATATGCCAAGTAAATAACCTATGAGTTTTCCTATCAGAACTGCAGGTAAAAACACTTGATACCAAGAGTGCAGTAAAACTGGCATTTTCATACAATGATGTTGGCTGTGAAAACTTTCTGGGAGGCAATATGGCAAAAGGCACTAAACCCCCTAAAAATCATCATATCTTTTGGCCAAGTAATTCCACTTATGAGTCTACCTTAAGGCAGCAAGCAGAAATGCAGTTGATGATTTGTGTACAGGAATGTTCATCACAGTATTACTTCGGCAAAAAATGAGAAGCAACTTGAATGCCCAACATTATAATTAAATTATGACATATCAAGATAATAAAACTCTATGCAGCTTTTAGAAAAACCAGATCTACAGTCACACTATGTAGTGTGACTGCAAGAAAGAGACTAAATAAAATAAATGTTCTAAAATGTTAATGTTAGCCCTGGTATCTCTGGGCTTTATGGGCGAGTGTTCTTTTTGCATTAAAAATATGTCCAGAATCATGTGTTCTATTCACATAAAAGTGAAATTTAGTAAACAGTCCTAGTAGTTAGATAAAGCAGGGGGGTAGCCAGAAAGAGTACTGAGAAAGGGGACTGTGCAGAATCAAAAGGAGAATGTCATATGAACTGATTCTTGGATTTGGGACTTTGGGAGAGATGAGGTTTAGGAAGAAGATTCTGGAAAATGTACTTCAGTTGTCATGAGTGAGGAAGGAAAGACAGAATCACATGTATGCTTCTATTTATCTTTTCCCAAAGAAGCCTTTGATTTTACAGGTGAAGAAGCTACACTGGAAATTATTAGGGAAACAGCCCATATTAAAAAAACATCTTTTAAGATCTGCACCAACAGAACTAAAATCCCACCATGAATTTCCATCAAGGTGTGAGAAGCAATATTGTCCCATAACAGGGTCTGAAAAGCTCCTAGACCCTGCTGTCTTCTGAGTCAAGAACACAGTTCCTTCTGACAGTCCTAACCCCCAGTGCATATTTTAAGGACAAATGTTTCTGTAACTACCTTTGAGTAACAGTTTAGCTGCCTCGAGTCAGCGATCTGCTTTTGTTTGGCCGCCTATTTCTTCATATGCATACAGGTGCAAAACGCAAAACCCTGCTGCCCGTGGTTCTCCCCTGCATTTCTAACCAGTTATCCTGGCACTACCTGCACCATCTTTGAGGCCAGAGGCACACAGGGTGATGCTGAAGGGAGGAGAGGGGAGGACAGCAGGGTACACGGGAGTGGGTCATCCCTGGGGGTGGGGGTCCCAGAGCCTGACTTCCAGTCCTTTCCCCAAGCCCATTATTGCTAGAATGCAGTCTGAGAGGAAAACAAACCTGTCTTACAGAGGGGCAGGCGTCGGGGAGCTGTGGGGCATGCAGGGTAGGTACTTACAAAAAAGAAGATGCAGAACCCGCAAAACACTCATAGAGGAGGAGCAGGGAATCAGGTTCGGTTGATCTGTCTTTCTTGCTGGCTTCCTAATAATGTCAGGCTCCAGAATCGAGGCGGGTGGAGAGGGGAACAGCAGCTCGATGCAGCCCTGAGCTTATGACCGGCTGGCAGGCGCAGTAAACAGCTCTCTGAACTTTGGCACATTTCTGCTGATGACACCACCCCCTGATTTCACTTTCATTTCTTGCCGGTGGCCCATGACTTTTCAGAAAGAAAGAATGTAAACAACACTGTTGTTTACCAAACCCAGTACTTTACCCACACCTGAACCAACCAACGAGTAGACTCAAAGAGCCAGGTAAGTGTCTTGATTATTTCATGCAACAATTCCAGGAAGGAAACTGGCTAAGACATTCTCAAAGCTCTTAATATTTTACACCAAGATGAACACAACCTAGAATCTCACTCAGAAGGGACCTTTAAGAGCATCTGGTCCAAGATCCCAGAACCAAGGTCACCCCTTGGGAAGCAGTTATACCACCTGTCCCCTCCTCAGAAATCAGCTTTGTAGGATGACTGGGTGTCTCTGGACACAAAACCCTGTCTTCTTAGTGTCCTCACCAGTGTGTTCAGGCCCTGCATGAGCAGCTGGAACATCTCTTCTTTCAAAATAAGAGCAGAATGGAGCTTTTATTTTTGTAATTCTAGGGGCACCCTGCTAGAGTTTAAAAATTGCTTTCTGTGCTCACATGACCAGCTGGAAATTCCAATTTGGGTTAAGCTCGGTTAAGTCAGTAGACAACTACCTAGTAATGTTGCTGAATCCTTCGGGGTTCCTCTTCCCCTCCCCATCCTTCCCCTAGAGGAGGAGTTTTTTGAACTGCTACATTCCACACACACCACATACCACCCCCCTTTGTAGTTCATTTAAACTCAGACCCTAGAGAGAGGTGATGGGGTCTGATAGAAAGGAAGAACAGAAGCTTTGGGATCAGGGGGCTCTGACAGATCAGCAAGTTCTTTAACCTCTCTGAGCATCAGTTTCTCATCTGCAAAATGGAAACAATACCTACTTTGCATGGCCGTTGTGGAGACTGGGAATAATGCATGAAAGTTCTTAGTACAATACTGGGCACACAGTGATGATAGTTATCACTGAAAGCACGATTTCTAAATATTTAGTCAGCTTTCACAGTAATGCCTTCAATGCAGAGATAAAATTAATTTTTTGGTACTATCATGAACTAGTCACCCTGAAAACTGCACACTGGTGAATGAACTGACACACTGTAAGAGAGATACGAGTATACACATTTAAAAATTATTTGAAGTTAGAATGCACAGTTTTTAAAGAGTCAATTCTTCGAAGTTTGTTATGGGAAACAGCAGTCCCATACTGTCCTCTTCTCCAGGGTAAGCACCTCACCTGTTTTAGCTGATTGTTTAGAATTTACCTCAGTTCTATAAGTAACATGCTTATCATGGTACTTCTTGATTTTTCAGTTTCAGGAGTAATCCTTTGACTCAGCTATAGAAGGGGAAGTTTCACTTTTTCCTTCCTGACTTGTTCCACAATTTAAGTCTTAATTCCCTCTTCCTTCCAAACTGGTTATTTTGTTTAAATATTGTACTCAGTGTCTACAGTTTTTTAACTATGTAAATACCATGTACAGTAGCTGAGCCATGTAGAAAATTATGATTTCTTTTCTTTTCCTGAATAATTTTTTGTCTTTTCTGGAGGTAATAATCGCCTTTTTTGATTGTTTGCTTGGTTTTCTTAACGCTAACCTAACCCTCAAATCTTCATCAAATCCTTTTTCAAGAAATTTGTATGCCTGGTACTTGATCTCTTCCCAGGAAGATCTCCCCAGGGCCTTCCAGTCTGCTCCAGTCTGGGCTGATACACATCTGGCATCCTGCCATTTCATTTCACTGCCACCATCCTGGGATTCTCTTTGCCTCTGTCCTATGTTGGATATCAAATTTCCTGCATCAAAGACTCTTCTTGATTTATTCTTTATTTTACTCTTCAATTTGATCAAAGCTAGAAGACCATAGAATTTAAGGTTAAAAATAAGTTGCCTTTATAATTTTAAAAGCTTTGTTGCATTCCATCTAGCTTTCACTAGAAGCTGAGATGTTTAAAGCTGTTCTGCTTTCTAATTTCCATAATGGCATCCTTTCCTATTTTCATCCTTGTAGCTTTGTCTTAAAAAATAAAGTTATTTTAGTGGCTTTTTGAGAAGGAGCAAAATTAAATATGTCTAGTTGGCTATTTTTTACTTAAAGTCTTTTTTTTTTCTTAAAACCCTAGGGCGGTTTTCGAGCTGTCTCTTTCACTGGTTCCCTCTGGCAACAGAGCGGTCCTCTGGTTGAGTCTGTTGCTCTTATTAAGGTACTAGCCTCCTCTTAATTGCTAACCACCCGAATCTCCATACTTTTTGACAGCACCCTTCTCCACACTGTTCCAAACAAATCAGTTTAGGTGTGGAGACCTTCAGAGCTCTCAGTCCTTGTGGAATGCCTCTCCTCCTGGGGCCGACTGAGCCACAGCTGTGGAGCTGAGGGTGGAGATGGTGACCTACCTCTTCTAGAGTGACCCTTCTGCTTTTTGAGCATGGTGCTGGGTACGGCAGTAGCCTCTGGTCTTTTTGCCCTGCATGGAACCTGAACCCTATGAGTAAGCTGGGGCAAAGCTGACTGGGACGCTGGTTTTCTTGGCCAGCTGAATCTGGGGAAGAGCCTTTGCCCTCTTGTTGGGTAGAAGACGGCAGGCTCTGACCTCTGGGCTGTACTTGCCTGGAATTTAGCCTCTGAAACACAGAGGTGGGGTGTGAGAAATGCTAGCAGGCTGCCTTGCTAGGGGAGAGACCACAGCCGCTGACTGGGAGCTGGGGAGTGCGATCTGAGTGTCCTTGGTCACATACTCGCGAGAGTGGAATTTCCCTCGTGGGAACTGGGGTGAAGGGAGAAAGGGTTTGTGGCTTAAGTACCACAAACTCTCACTGCTCTTACTGAGATTTAGTAGATTTTCTTGAATGAATGTTTCTTACCTTTTGTGTCCTTAGGACAATTTCTAAAGACTTTTTTTTTTTTTTTAACCGTTTTGGTATTCTCCCTGGGAGTGGGTGGAAGATTGTCCTAGGCTGCAGTTCCACAACTGGATTTCTGCCCCGTTATTGGTTTTTAAAGGGAAAATTTAACTACATAAAACCTAAGGATATTTAAATAGCAAAAAATATGACCAAATCTGAAATGACAATTTCCAGAAAATTACAAAATAAGAAACGAGTGGTTTTAAATTTCAAGTCCCTTAAATTAATCTATGAATTTAGAAATTAACTAATAAAAACAATGATAGGTTTAAGGGGGAATGTCTTTGTTGTTGTTTTGGTTTTTGTTTTCCTGAAGCTAAGAATTGAGGAATTGCTGTTTGTTGACTGATTCACTGATGTGCCCAGGAGGGACATAATGTCAGTGATAGTACATGCCATTCCTTCTTTGAGGTGTTGTATGAATAAGTCATTTTGGAAGAAATCAAAAGTTCAGAGATTTTTTCCATCTTGACAGAAATTAAATATAAATAAGTGATTTTTAATTTTCTATATTTTCTCTGTATTTCTTTTTAATTCTCTGAAAGATGTTCCAACGGAAGAAGATGAGACATTGCGAACTTGTAGTACATGCACATGGAGGTGTAGGGGCTGGGGATAGGGAGGGCTTTTCTTTTTCTTTCTTTCCTCTTTCTTTTTTCTATGTAAGTATATGTTGTCTTTTATCCACAGTTTTCAGAGCAGCATAAAGCTAGATTATTTGTCCGTTTGGAACATCAAACGGAAGGTGGGTTGGCCATCCTTCTTTTTCGGTTGCTCTCCCTTATTTTTAATTAGATGGGGGGCTCTTTGTAGCGAGCCTTGCTGGTTGGATTCTTCAGCCTGCAGACTCTGGTCTGCACCCTTCTCAAAACTTGAGGGAGTAGTCTCCCATTTGCCGCTGACACGTTTCATGTCTTTTGTCTTTGTGGCCTTGGCTCGAAAATGTTTTTTCTTCTTCTTGGGTCCTTTGAGAGGTGACAAACTTTCAGATGACTTCTGGGACACAGACTGGAGACATTCTGAAGAGCTGACAGGAAGATTCCTTTGGCTTCTAAGAGGGGGGTTTGTGGGTGGTGTCCAAGATGTGCTGTATTTCTTTATATTTATGTAAGTAGATGGCTGAGGTCTAGGAAAGAAATGAAATATGTGAGTTTTTGCCCAATATATACCCTAAGTATTTGTAGTCCTTAGGTATTGTCATAGTATAAATCATATCTTTTTCCTTTAGTAAGTTCATTCTTCCTTACGACTTTTAACATTATTTCTATGAGAATGATCTAACTTCATTCCTGATCATGATTTTTCAGCGTTACTCTAATCCTGTATTTCTGAATGCCTACGGTATATGTTTACTTCGATACCTGCCTTGACCCAAGGCTTCCCCTCTTGATATATTGGCCACTCTGGACCTCAGCTCCTTGCTTATATATCTTGTTGAAGTAAATGTTCTCTAAAATTCCACTTTGCTCTAAAAATCTACTTTGTTTATTCTATTAGAATGAATTCAGTATACATGCTCTAAGTTTTTTTTCCTTTAGTCAGTAAAAAGATCAATATGAGTTCAAGAGAGAGAAGTTTTCCTCAAGAAAGGGAGTTTTTATAAATTTCTGATTGTAGCTAAAGCCTCTCAGTTTTTCTTTAAAATTCCATTTTTTAACCACAGAATTGCAACTATATTTTTAATTAAACTCTTCATTTTGATATAACTGTGGACTCACCTACAGATGGAAGAAATAATATAGGGGACCCCATGCACCCTTCACCCGGTTCCCTCAAAATGAAATATCTTGCAAAACTATAAACAATAACACAATCAGGATATATATAGTCAAGGTACAGAACAGTTCCCTTATGTTTCCCTTTTGCTGTCATACCTACTTTCCTCCTTCCCCATCCCAAATTATGTAATTTTGTTATTTCAAGAATGTCATATAAGTGGAATCATACTGTATGTAACCTTTTGGGATTGGCTTTTTTCACCCAGCACAATTCTCTGGGATTCATCCAGGTTGTTTTGTGGCTCAGTAGTTCATTCCTTATTATTGCTGAGAAGTAGTCCATGGCATGGATGTACCGTAGTTTGTTTAATGATTCATCCATTGAAGGACATGGTTGTTTCTGGTTTATGGCTATTATATAAATAAAGCTGTTGTAAACATGTGTGTACAGGTTTCTATGTGAACATGTCTCCACTTCTCTGGGATTAATGCCCAGGAGAGCAACTGCTGGGTCATATGGTCGTTATATATTTGGCTTTTAAAGAAACTGCCAAACTTTTCCAGAGTGACTGTACCATTTTACATTCCTACCAGCAATATGAGTGACTCTATTTCTTTGCATCCTCATCAGCCTTAGGTATTATCACTATTTTTTATTACAGGCATTCTGATAGGTGTATAGTGATATCTCATTGTGGTTTTAACTTGCATTTCCCTAGTGGCTAAAGATGTGAAATGTCTTTTCATGTGGTTATGTGCCATCTGTATATTCTGTTTGGTGAAATGAACAATTCATGTCTTTTGTCTGTTTTCTAAATGAGCTATTTGGTTTTTTTAATTGAAGTACAGTCAGTTACAATGTGTCAATTTGTGGTGTACAGCACAGTGTCCTAGTTGTGCATATACATACATATATTCGTTTTCACATTCTTTTTCATTAAAGGTTATTACAAGATACTGAATCTTTAATCTAGATTCTAGTTTCTTATTTATATGGTTTGCAGATATTTTCTCCTATAGTATAGCTTGTCTTTTTATCCTCTTAACAGAGTCTTTCAAAGAGCAAATGCTGTTATTTTGATCAATTCTAATTTATCAATTTTTCTTTTATGGATCATGCTTTTGGTATAAAGCATAACTTTCTCCCAACTCTATATCCTGAAATTTTTTCTCCTAAAAGTTATATAGATTTATGTTGTACAGTTAAATCCATGATATATTTTGAGTTATTTTTTTGTACAAGGTATGAGTTTAGGTCAAGGTTCATTTTTTTGACCACTAGATGTTTAATTGCTCCAGCAACGCTGGTTAAACAGGCTCTTTCTCCTACACTGACTTGCTTCTTGCATTTTTGTCAAGGATATTTGTGTGGGTCTATTTCTGAGTTCTCAGTTTGGTTCCATTGATATGTATGTCTATTCCTCCTTCCATACTACTTCCATTCTTCCATTCTTCTATGCTTCCATTCTCTTAATTATTGTAGCTATATAAAAAATCTTGAAATCAGAGAGACTGATTCTTTCCATGTTATCTTTCTTTTTCAAAATTGCTTTTGCTATTTCAGTGTCTTTGTATATCAATTTTAGAATAATCTTGTCTATATTTACAGAAAGTCTTGCTGGGATTTTGATAGGAATTAAGTAGAACTTGTATATCAATTTGGGAAGAACTGACATCTTTATTGAATTGAGTCTTCTAATCCATGAACATGCTATGTCTCTGTGGTCATTTAGAACTCCTTTGATTTTTTTTTCGTGTTGTGTAGTTTTCAGCATACAAGCCCTGTACATATTTTGATAGATATACAACTAAGTATTGTTTTTATTGAGAGGTTATAAATGTTATTTTAAATTGTAGTGTCTGCATCTTCACTGCTTGTGTATAGAATTATAATTAATTTTGTATGTTTATCTTGTAATTCTAAGACCTTGCTGAATTTGCTTATTCGTTATAGGAAGTCTATTTTTGTAGATTCTATGGTGTTTCTATTATAGGTAATAATGTCTTTTGCAAATAGGGACGGTTTTATTTCTTCCTTTATCAGTATGCCTTTTATTTCTTTTTCTAGCCTTACTGCAGTGGCTAGAACTTCTAGCAGGATATTGAATAAGAGCGGTGAGAGCAGTCTTTATTAAGTTGAGCAAATTTCCCTCTAATTTTTTTCTAAGAATTTTTACTATGAATAGGTACTGAATTTTGTTAAATGCTTTTTTGGTGACAATTAATATAATATGATTTTTCTTCTTTAGTCTGCTAATATGCATCCCACTGATTGATTTTTGATTTTTGAACAAATCTTGAATTCCTAAGATGGACCTTACTTGGTCATGGTGTATAATTCTTTTGCTATGGTGCTGAATTCTATTTGTTAATATTTTGTTAAGGATTTTTGCTATGTTTATGAGAGATAGTCTTTAGTTTTCCTTTTTTGCAATGCCTTTGGTTTTGGTATTAGGCTAGTAGTAGCTTCATAAAATAAACCAAGAAGTGTTCTTTCCTATTCTATTTTCTGGAAGAAATTGTTTATAGTTGGTGCTAATTCTTCTTTAAATATTTGGTAAAATTCTCCTGTGAGGCCATGTGGGAGATTTCTTTTTTGGGAGTTTTAAAATAATAAATTCAGTTTTCTTCATAGTTGGAGGGGAATTCAGATATTCAGTTCCATATTGTGTGGATTGTGGTAGTTTGTGATTTTTTAAAGGAAATAATCTTTTTTTTCAGTTATCAAATATATGTGTGTAGTATTTCCTATTACCTTTTTGATGTCTACGGGATCTTTAGGGGTATCCTCTTTGATTCCTGATATTAGCTATTTGTGCCTTTATTTCTTTGTCTTGCTTGAAATTTGTCAATTTTTATTGATCTTTTCGAGGGACAAATTATTTCACTGACTCTCTTTGTCATTTTTCTATTTTCAATTTCATCTCTTTACTATTTCCTTCCTTTTGCTTTGGGTTTATTTTGTTCTTTTTATAGTTCTTGCAGTAGGAGCTTATTGATTTAAGACTTTTGCTCTTAACATATGTGTTTATTTAGCTCTGTATACTTTCCTCCTGGCACTGCTTTAGTCGCATCTCACAAGTTTTATACACTGTTTTCATTTTTCATTCAATACATGTTTTTATTTTCTTTGAGACTTCATCATTGATTCGTGAATTGTTCATAAGCATGTTGTTTAACTTTTAAGTACTTGGGAGTTTTCTTGTTATCTTTGTGCATTGACTTCTAGTTTGATGCCACTGTGATAAGAGAATACACTTTATATGATTTAAATTATGTTAAATATGTTGAAGTTTGTTTCATGGCCAGGATATGGTCTATCTTGATAAACATGCTCCATGCATACTTGAAAAGAATGTGTATTCTGCTATTGTTGAGTGGAGTAAACTCCAACTGCAAATTAGATTTTATTGGTCAGTGGTGTTGAATTCTTTTACATCCTTATTGATTTCCTGTCTACTGATTTGATCAGTTGTGGATTTATCTATTTCCCCTTTCAGCTTTTGCTTCACATATTTTGTAGTTCTGTAGTTTTGTGCATACACATATAAGATCACTATATGTTCTCAGTGGGTTGACCTTACTATATAATGTCCCTGTCTGTCTCTGATACTTTTCTTTGCTCTGAAATCTACTTTATCTGATATTAATATAGTCTCTTCTGCTTTATTGTTTTCATGATAAGTTGTCTTCCATCCTTTTATTTCAGCCTACCTACATTGTCATATTTGAAATGAGTTTCTTGTGGATTGCATATCATTGGGTAATATATTTTAATCCACTCTTCCAATCTCTGTCTTTTAATTGTTATATTTAGACCATTTACATTTAAATATAGTTATTGTTATCTTAGGATTTAAATCTGCCTTTTTTTTTTAGTTTATGTCTGCTGTTTTTTCCCTATTGTTTTCTTTTTCCTGCCTTCCTGCGGATAATGTGAATATTTGGGGGAGTTCCATTTTTTTTTATCTGTAGTGTTTTTGAGTATATGTCTTTGAATAGCTTTTTGAGTGGTTACTAGATACTACATTGCATATGCATAACTTGGAGTATAGAAATCTTATCTCCCTTTATGTCCCTTTACCGTCTCACATTTATAATTGTCAGTGTTATAATTTTTGCTTCAGCCATCAAGACATTTAGAAAACTCAAGAGGAGAAGGAAGTCCTTTTACATTTACCTGTACATTTGCTCAGCATGTTACTTCTTTCCTGATGTTCCTTCCTTAATTATTTTCTATCTGTTTAGAAAAATTCCTTTAGCCATTCTTTTAGTGTAGGTCTTCTAGTGAACAGTTCTCTTAGTTTTCCTTCTTCTCAGCATTTCTTGATTTCTCTTTTATTTTTGCTGGGTGTAGGATTATGGGTTGACAGTTCCTTTCTTCCAGTAATTGAAAACATTGTGCCAC